AAAAAGACGTGCCCGCTCCTCCTCTTTCGATTGGTGAAAACCGCAGGTAGCTAGGTATTGCGGTTGTCGAGTTATTGAGCTTACACTCACCCCTCTTTTATTCTGGCGCGGACATTAGTCGCTGATATTGCAAGTGTACTGCAGATTCGCCTCACAAAAGATCTGTGTAAAAGCTAGAGTTTTTTTAGAATACTACAGGGCGGGTAAAAATATTTTTCCAGGGAAGTAACGCTATGGTTTCAACTAGCATCCATAACAAATTTTATACCAATTAAAACGCGTCAAAAATGGGATTTATCGATGCTAAAATAGGAAAGGTTATGGCAACTTATTAGTGTCGAATTCAAGAAATTCCTAGAATTTCACACCATTTTTACATTGAAAAACTACTTTCATGAGACAGTTCAAACTAGATCTCGTTTAAAATAAGGAATATCACAAAGTACTATTTATATCGTATGATTTTATGAATATGACCAATAATCAGTATAATAATCATTGGCTTTCTTTATAGCATGAAGATGAGATGGATACGAACATGAAATGGTTTCAAATAACTCAATGTTTGTTTCCATGTTTGCCAAAACATCTGAAATATGTTTTTCAAAGTTTCTTCATCATAAAGATTGTGTTCCATCTCCTACAGCATTTTCTTTCAGTTTTAGTTTTGATTGTTGTTCGAATATTTCCAGGCCAGGTGCCGAGTACTTTGTGATATTCCTTATTTTAAATGAGTTCTAGTTTGAACTGTCTCATGAAAGTAATTTTTCAATGTGAAAATGGTGTGAAATTCTAGGAATTTGTTGAATTCGACACTAAAAGGTTGCCATAACTTTTCCTATTTTGCATTGATACATCTGATTGTCGATGCGCTTTAATTTGGTATAAATTTGTTATGGATGCTATTTGAAACCATAGCGTTACCTCCCTGGAAAAATATTTTTACACACCCTCTACAATAAAGTTTCCTTAATGAGAAAATTCAATAAAACTCTGATTTTCCAGCAAGACAATGAAATTGAAAAAATAAGGAATAGTTCACAACAAAGCTGCGATTTAGAAATTGCCGTCGAGAATTCTCGTGCTACAGATCTAACGATTTTTCGAAGTCAGCTGAGTCTGGGATTAGGTGCAGTATACATAAAAAAGGATAATCTTGTGGAGGAATAGAATAAAACGTATTATCGGCTAGCCGTGAGTGACGCCCTGGAGGGGCGCCGACGAGCGATTAGCTGCTGCGCTCAAAAAGTCCTCTGAAGAAACTCTACAGTTTGTGGGGATTCATCGGATAAATGTCAACAATCTAGATCTAATGGGTTTGAATAGGGACTAGCAGTGGGAAAGAACTGAGAAATTAGATGTGTCCGGTTAGCATTAGTACTAGAAAAGTATTAATCTAACGGTAATGCTTATAGTTCGCAAGAACAGAACAAAATTGTTTCATTATGGGAATTTTTTTCCCAAACCAGAACAGTTTCGTTCTCTTATGAGAAGCCTTTCCCAAAAAAACGAACGAAATTTTTCTGTTTTGGGAAAAAAATTCCGATAAGGAAACAATTTTGTTCTGTTCTTGGGAACAATAAACATTACCATTAGGTTAATACTTTTCTAATGCAAATACCAATGCATTAAATTATTTTTTTAACACTAATGCAAAAGCATTAAGTTTATTTTTTAACTCTAATACAAAAACATTAAAAAAAAGTATTAATTAATGCAATGCTAATGCTAATCGGACACCCCTATGAGTAATATTTTGAAATAAAGTGTAAGAACGGCTTTTCTGTACGTGCACAATATTTGAATAGCACATTTGACGGGAAGCATCGCTCAAAGAATTTATATTCGCTTTATCGGAAGTAGATATGAATGAAATAAAAGGAAATTTTTATGTTGGTATGTGTTCTTGTCTGTGTTCGTTCACGTGTCGGAATGTATACGGGTATATTCAAATTACCTGTCTAGTCCGACGGCTAGCTTGAGCAGGAGATTCTTTTAAGTATGGCATTCCGATTACAGATCAGATCTAGTATGATTTATTTTAAGCTAGAATTTCAACTAAACTCGTATTTTTCTAGCGGACGCTCTAGGAAACAATATTGTCGGCTGGTGTGCTAGTAAGCAGATGGATTTTTAGTGGAATTTTCAAAATGTATGGCGCGTTTTCGCAATAGTGTCGCGAATAATTACATTTTGCTTCGTGACCTCTCAGAAAATTGAATATAATCTCTTTTTTCGGGTGCGTACGCATACTGCTGCCGTAGTGTAGTTCATTTAGATTTCTGTTGAGTATCAATATGTGGGTATCAATTTGATTAGGTGAATTTATGACAAAAATCATTATGCAGACCCGCGTACCATTGTGCACCACGCGATTGCCGCTAATATCAACGTCCACACACACCGACCCATCCACCCTTTTGAAACGTTGGGTACTAGCTTTGTTGAAGACTATAAAGCAGTATATAACACCGAAAGGGCCAAATATTAAGGCGAGGGTTAAGCGGGTCGTATGGGCGAGCGTTACTTGTTGCGTACGTTTTTCTGAACCTCCCTATTGAAAAAAATACGGCTCTTAAAAACCTATTTTCCCATTTTCTTCTAATCCGTTTTCTCGAATATACTGTTTACGCAGGAAAACCTTGCTTAATAACGACTCAATATAAAAATGGTAATGTTTTCTTGTTATGCAGCAGACAAGTGGAGCTAGATCGTAACAGAGTCGGATTTTTTAATTTCTCCTTTGTCTAAGTCAAAAACTTCGATGTTTGATTTTAATTAGCGATGTTTTGGCCAGGAATTTGAGAATTTTTCAGGAAAGTTTTTTTTAAAGCAAACAAAGGAAAATTAAAAAATCGGCTTCTATTAGGATCTAGCTCTAAGTGTACTCTACAAATTAAAAAACAACTCGACATGCTTAACTCGAATCCTCATGTTGACAACCTTGCCAGCGTAAAAAGTATTTTTTACAAATGAATTAACTATAACTCGTGAATATCTCGCAGATTTGGGAAGATGTTTTAATCATAGTGAACTCTAGCCAAGACTAACATTCTCTGAAATTTTGGTTGAATTCTATGGAAAAATATAAAAGTTCGTTTGTGAGGGGACGCCCTTAATTGGCTGAGCTCGCGGCCTGAAAAAACATCATATATATTTCATATCGAGATTATCGAGTCTGTAATTACGCTAACACATCTGAATAAGTTACTCTCAACATGGTCGCCAGATCAGAAACCCATCTTATTTTATGCGACACTGCTTCGCCCAGCGAAAAATCATTATTTTCCTAGAAAGCCTGTCCTTGATGATACAATTCTGAATAAATGCTAGTAGAAATCGGCTACACTGTAAAAAAAAAAAAAAGGAACTGTACGGAACCTAAAATAAGGGTTCGGTAGATGACAAAAAGCTTGCAAATGTGTTCAAAATTTCAAAAAAAGAATAAAAAATACACCGAACCTTTAAAGGATCTTACCGTGTACCCAAGTGAAGATCCTTTTTTCTTCGAAACCTTTTTAAGATCTGTAGACCAAAAAATAGGATTTGTAGGAAAATACGAAACCTTTAGAGTTTCGTATTAAATATAATAGTTTTACAGGAAGCCCAGTACGAAACCACGAGGTTTAATACGAAACTCTAAAGGTTTCGTATTTTCCTACAAAACCTATTTTTTGGTCTACGGAACTTAAAAAGGTTTCGAAGAAAAAAGGATCTTCACTTGGGTACACGGTAAGATCCTTTAAAGGTTCTGTGTATTTTTTTATTCTTTTTTTGAAACTTTGAATACATTTGCAACTTTTTTGTCATCTACCGAACCTTTTTTTGAGGTTCCGTACAGTTCCTTTTTTTTTTTTTACAGTGTAGGGTAGATAGATTATATTGCTTCCTCCGTCCCACTATCACCGTCCTGCCGTTCCATTTTATGTTAGGCTATTCTCCGTTTTGTTTCAATGTTTTGTTTCATGTATCAGAGGAGCCATAAATCGTTTATATCATCACGGCGATGTATTGAATTGTTAATGGTTGAGTATATCGCTTCTTTGATTCGTCTCTTTTTTCAAACAATTCTCTTGATCGATATTAAATGCGTATGCTTTCGTTAAATCAAATTTACATTCATTATTATTATTATTGTGCTGGTGTTGTAGTATTTCTGATGATGATGTTTTTTTCATTCTTTTTAATTATTATATATTATGTTGTGTTATACATTTTTTGAGACCAACTTTGGTTTCTCCATTATATGTAGCACCACAATTGCAATTAATTTGATAAATATTTGATTTTGACTTTGGCTTTATTATGTTGGTGCATGTCGTTTGTATTTTATTTGGATATGAGAAGTATATTTTAATGTTTAATTTTTCTAATTTTCTTTTTAGTACATCAATACCTGGTACATATGGTAAGGTAATAGTATAATTTGGAGTTTTATTTTTATTATTTTGTTGTTTATCTAGTTTGGTGTTTCCAGTTTTTATGGTATTCATTATATGTTTTTCTACAATTTGTTTTGGGTAATCTGATTTCATGAGTATTTGTTTTAATTTATTTAAATCTTCTTCTTGATGGATGGGATTTTTTGATGTTTCAATTATTTTAGATGTCATATTTTTAATTATGTTAATTTTCACTGATTTATCATGATATGAATTGTAATTTAACAATCTCTCGGTGACTGATTCTTTTCTATACCATTTAATTTCAATACTTCCATCTTTTGTTTTCGATAATGTTGTGTCTAGGTAGTTTATTGCTCCGTCTTTTTCATATTCGTGAGTAAATTTCATTTTGCTTTTTATTTTTTTAAGGTTTTTTACATGTAGTTTTATATCATCTTCATTCATTTTACTGATTATTAGGATATCATCAAGGTACCTCCATATTTTTGAGGATTGGCTAGCTTCATTCATATGTTTTTCCATGGAGTAGTTCATATAAAGGGTGTCCCATAATAACTGAGGATAATTTTTTATTCGTATTTTTCATAGTTTTACTCGATGTAGAAGGCTGAAATTTTTATCACATATACATCTGATCCAGATCTTTTATTGCTGAAAGTTTCAGCTATCTAGCTATAAGTAGTGGTAAAATACATCGACAAAACTGAATACATAAATTTTCGTAATCGATTTCTGCATATATGTTTACTTCGAAAATATTGTAAGGTAGTTCTAAGGGTAGTCAACCAAAAAATCACAAA